GGCGGGGCCCCGGCCCACCCCGGCGCCCCCGCCGATCGAGGGTGGCCCGGGCCTTCTGGCTTCTTGACTCTCTCGTGTGGGGTTCGTCTGGGATCGGAAGATGGGGCGGGAGGCCCGTCTGCACCTCTCTCCCACACGTCTCCCCCCTGATGGCCCGCGGGGGTTCAGCTGCCTGGAGGTCAGGGGCGTCCTGGCTCCCGGCCTCGGGGCTGGGACCGGGACAGGGGCGTGTTACACGTGGCCGACACCCCGCCGGCGCTCCGGAGGGGGCAGGCCGGGCGCCCCACCCTCCTCAGCTGGCCAGTGTGGAACCTAGATCCATTGCTTCCATACTTAAGATTCCTTCCTTTATTTATTTATTTTTTATTTTTTGGGGTTTTTAATTGGCCTTATTCTTCTGTAACCCGCACCCCCTCTTTCTCTTTTTTCACCATCTTCCGTCCAACTTGCTCGGCCCCTCACCACCCCCGGGACTGTTGGGAGCTGTAGGAAACTACACCGTTGCTCAGACGTTTGCTGGTTCCTTGGCCTTGGTTCGGGGTAAACACGAGGAAGGCTTTTAATTGGTTATCTTATCTGCATTCTCCACCCACCATCAGCGAATCTTTCCCTGTTAATTCTACTGCGTTGCAGAACCCACTCTACAGAGGTTGACAAACAGGAAAAACTTTAAATCAGGCCTTTTTTTTGTTTTTGTTTTGTTTTGTGGGCTGAGTTGGGTCTGGAGGTGTGGCTCAGTGGTAGATCACCTGCTCAGCAAGTTGTAGGCCCCAAATTTAAACCCCAGTCCCATTAAAAACAAAACAGCTCACTGAAAGCAGTTTTCCGTCTAGTCTTTTATTTTCTTTCGGAATGAATGTTTCCCAGTAGTTGTCATTTTGTAACGTTCTGTGTGGCGTGGGAGTGAACCCTCCCCTTGACCACAGGTAGATGGAAAATGAGAAGTTAATTGGAGGTAGAAACATTACGTACCTGGACAAAGACACACCTGAGTGACAAGGTTGCCAGCAAGTGTAATGACTGATGTGTTTTGTTGGCTGGATTCAGAATGTCTGTGTTTTCATTTTTTGTTTGTGGATTCTCTGGGGTGAAAGGAAGCATTCATTTTCTCATTTGTAAGTCACTTATTGAGCTTAATAGACTTTGATTTGAAAGTAGTTGGTGGATAGGAATCTGATTCTGGTCTTAGAAAGCACACTTTTACTTTAAAATTCGGATTAAAATTTTAACTTGTAATTGGCAGTATGATGTAACAATGACATAAAACTTTGGGTTGTGGTTGTCTGGTATGATACATTGGCATATTTTGAGTCTGTATGTGTAATTGGATGACTAAAACAATGTTTTTTAAGTTGATTTGCTAAAATCAGAAACTCGCAGACCTAATCAAGTTTCAAGTTGAAATTTCTGGTATTGTGGTAAATGTATTATCCAGAAAGAGCATGGTTGATGCTTTTATTTAATGAAAGGAATTTTATATATATTTGGATTTTCATTTAAACTTTTTAAAAATAAAAAGATGGTCATCTTTAGCTAAACTATGAAATGCTTGTTGCTGTAGCTTACGTTTGCTTGCAAATTAATATTATTAATACCTTTGAAAAATATATCTATTTTCTCTATAACTTTGTGTCATTAGTTCATCATTTTTGGCTTTGTTTTAGGGGAAAGTAGGAAGCTTCTATAAAATGTGTTACTGAGTTGCTAGAGGAGTGACATTAAGTACTTTTGTGCTATTTCCCTTTTTTTTCATTCTGTATCATTGGAAGCAAAGCCCAGCAGGTAGTTCTGGTGTTGTTCAGATCCTTTTGCATTCACCAGAGGAGGGTGCCACTGATTTTAGTACAGATGACAGTTATAGAATTTCAGAAAACAAGAAGCCGGTACTGAACTCTCTATTATTTTTATACATTTTCTGTAGCTAGAGAGTTTTGAGGATAAATGTAGAATTTCATTTTATTATACTTCATGATGCTGAGGTAATTCATAAAAAAATTTCCAAGTCTATCTACCGTTGTAGTGATTTTTAGATCCAGAAGGAACCTTGTATATCTAATTACATCTATTTCATCCTAATTATTTAGATGAGATGCTGAGGACTGAGGACTTGTGACCATCTTACAGTTACAAGGCTAATTTGGGACCTTTGATTTGTTGATCTGTATGTTGAACTACTCCGCACACTGCTTTGCCTGTTCACCTAGATTAATAGTGCTCTAGGGATACAAAGTGACTTCTAGAATAGAACTCAGGCAGTTTCATTGTAGTGAGAGAGATCTATCTCTTACCAAAAATCATGGCATGCTTATGGTGTTATGAGACCACAGAGAGGGATGTTTAAAGCAGACTAATGGCAGAAAGCTAAGGGAAAAATACTGTGAAGGCATCATTTGTTCCAAGATTAAATTGGGAACTTTCTCTCTCTCTCTCTCTCTCTCTCTCTCCTTCTTTTTTTCTTTCTTTCTATAGGATTTCTCAATGTCATCCAGTCTGGCCTTGACTAAATAGCTTACATTCATTGACCTCAAATGAAAGTTGTATTGCGTTAGGCTCTTGAGTGCCGAGATTACAGGTGTACTGCACTCTGTTTGGCTACTGCTTAGGTTTTGAGATATGGCTTTGCTTCTGCTCTGCTTATACTTGACCTTGGCTAATTGTTTAAGCAGTCTTATCTGGAAGTTTCCTATCTAAAAAAGAGGATAATAACACTCAGAAAGCGTGCCCTCGTTCACAGTTTTGTGCCTTGTTAGGGAAGTACTTTAATGGAGAGAAGGGTGGGAAAGAGGAAAACTCTGGGACAAAGAAAAGTCTCCTGTTCAGGAAGTAGTATCCAAAAGAGAGAGATTACCTGTGTAGACCTGCTGTTAAGATGTATGTTAGGCAAGAAAATTCTTTAGCTAGCACCCTCTCCAGATCAGACTTAACAAAGCCTTTCTATCTCCCTTTGTGTAACTTTCAAAGAACTTCTGATTACTAATTCAGGATTTTATTTCTATGGACATTGAGAAAGCAGCACCCAGGCATCAAGTTTAAATTTTCTGATTAGTGGAAAGGAATATATTCTCTATGATTAATTAATAAGTCGGCATTCTGACTTATATCTTAGTCTCTTAGGAAGTAGCACTAGCACCAGCTATGCTAGTGCTCTGAGCCTATTCAACATTTGATTGTTTGACAAAAATTATGTCTTTGGTTTTGTTCTGCTGAAGGCTAGATTTTTTTTTTTTGATTAAAAAAATCACTTGTGGGGCTTGAACTCAGGGTCTGGGAGCTATCACTGAGATCATTTGCTAGTGTTTGACCACTTTGAGCCACAGCTTCAATTCTGGTTTTCTGGTGGTTAATTGGAAATACGAGTCTCATGAACTTTTCTGCCTGGGCTGGCTTTGAACTGTTGTCCTCAGATCTTAGCCTCCTGTGTAGCTAGGATTTCAGGCATTTGCCACCAGTACCCAATTTGAAGACTAGATTCTGAGTCTGTGACTTTGTTTAGATGCATGAGTTTTTCTTCTTCTTCTTCTTCTTTTTTTTTTGTACCAGTACTGGGACTTGAATTCAGTGCCTTTCATTTGTTTGGGCTGAAGGCTGGCATCCTACCACTTGAGCCACAGCTCTACTTCAGGCTTTTTGCTAGTTAATTGGATATATTCTATTAGATTTTTTTTTTTTTTTTTTACATAGGCTAGCTTTGAGCCACAATCCTCAGATCTCAGCTTCCTGAGTAGCTAGAGTTACAGGTGCAAGCCATCAGCACCAACCTTGATGCATGCAATTTTTTACAGAGCTATGTTTCCATGGCATTGTAGGCAACTGTCCTAATTTTATGCTCGTAGGGTTTTGTGACATTTTAACCACCATTCTAAGGAGAGGAGGGTTGATTGTGTATGTATCTCAGCTGTGGCAGGGATTTTCTTGTATAACACATGATTAAAACAATAAGACAAAAAAATTTCCAGATTCCATCAATTAGATAGAGGAAAATTATTATTTTTTAAAGTTCACAAGTGATGTGTAGCTAGGAAAATGATTGGTATTGGGCTCACCTGCAATTTTTATCTACAGGCGAAGTGTGTGTGTGTGTGTGTGTGTGTGTGTGTGTGTGTGTGTCTGTGTGTTTAATACTACCTGGAAGAAATACCATCAATCCTTTGAGACAGCTTTGTCAATGTTCATAGCGAAATACATGTAGAAAAGTGGATGGTTTATGTGCTTCATATGAGTATGGGTGTTACTGACACCTGACACAGCTTGAAAACCCATTTCACATCAGAGAAAAGCTGAATTTCAAGTACCTGTTTGGGGGTTGCGGTCCTGAAGCTCAACACTTCCTAGAAGCCCTGAAGGGAAAGTGAGTGTGGACAATTGTCTAAAGGATGCACAGTTGGATTCTTTAGATCAAGACCCATAGTTCTTAACTTTTCTTGGCTCATACTTTTCCTTTGAGAATGTGTGGAAACCACAACCATGCCCTCTATAAGGATGGACACA